GCAAGCAATGTTCACTCCATGTTTCCTGTATAAAACCTTGTTCTCAATGGTTTCAATCTCTTGCCAAATTTCAAACCTAAAATCTAACATGCTAGACACAGCTATTCCTGTGTTTGCAAATGTGGCTGGAAGAACTCAGCACTTTCTTAAGATACCAGAGCATACAGCTTGTCCCAGTGAGAAGCTAAGCCCTGTGACATGCGGGTCTGAGAGCCATATAGGCAACTAGGGGTGGTGTCATGCCAGCATGGACTGCCCCAGCATTTGTTGTGAGACCTGCCCCTTTGTGCAAGTCCCTGACCTAGTCCCCTCCTCCGTAAGACAGTTGGCAAAACCAGATCTTCCAACACAAGCGAGTGGAGGGGGAGCAATTCCCACCAGCTGAAGAGTTGGCATGTCAAGAAATCATAGAATGGTTAGAGTCTAGTTCCAGCCCCCAGCAATAGTAAACACTAACTGTGCAGAATCTACATTCACCAGCTATTAAGACTGAAGCCAGCTCAGAGGAGTGCATAAGTCATGGTGTCTGCCATCTACCTTACAACTACAACTGCGACACAGCCCAGTGAGTGGGGGACCTTGCAGGGCTGGGGTTCTCATGCAAGGACAGTAGCCATACTGTCACCCTTCCGCTATCTCAGCAAGACACTGGCACAGAGCTCTGCTGGGATGCTTTCTGCCTCAAAAGTCCTTAGCAGCTCCACGTGAGGAGGAACTCATTCTGACTTATTTTGACTCATTCCTGACCCAAGAGGGTTTAATTGTCTGGAGGTTTTATTCATCACTTTTACAGCTCAAGGACTGCAAAGCTTCATCAGAAGGGTGCCTGCACTCACGAGCACACACAGAGCCAAAGAACTCAGAGATTTGCTTTTCAAGTGATCAGCATAGCCAGCTCAAAGCTCTGCATGACTGGCAGCAGAGACAGAGCTGAGTAGCCCCTGAAACCTCCAGTACCCTACATCCAAGCTGTGTGACCCAAAGTGACCATCCAGCTTCAACTCAGGGACTGTGTGATCAGTATCCTGGTCCGAGACATCAAAAAAAAAAAAAAAAAGGACTTTTTTCTGTTATATTTAAGGAGGTTAAAGCTCATCTTCTTTTGACAGCCAGCTCTTTTGTACAAGCACTTAGTCCAAGAAAGGATGCGGTGCTGAAAAATCAACAGCCTCTTTGGAAAATGCAAAAGCCCACTGTCTGTTTTGCTAGCATCACTTCAGCAATGCTGAGCAGCACAACCTGCAAGTGTACAGTTCAGCCTGATAACGCACATAAAACAAGTAAAGAAAAATACTCCAGGCTTTTGGTTTTGCCTGTGCCTTTTCATCTCAGGTACAAAGGGATGCAGCATCACCAGTACAAACATAGGCTCTTGGTTGTAGGTGTCAACTTCTTTACAAGCTATGAAATCCTGTTTTCTGATGGAGAAAAGTGGGGCAGAGAGGAAAAACAAAACAGGGTGGGCTGATAAAGGTCTTACCAGTGCCAGCAGGCAGTTTGGTTGAGTGTGGCACACCACACTGCCACCCTGTCTCATGGTTTTCCCTGTTCAGATGGGGACTGTGAGACGCATTTCTAATGAATAACAGACAGCAAATGGCTGTTATTTCCCCGTCCTTTTCAGTAGTGGCTAGTCAAAATCTGATGAAGAAAAGCAAAGAAAGAGAAATACATTCATGTATGCTGAGCACATGATCTCTGGTCTCTGATAAAGGTTAAGCTCATACTGTCTCCTCCCTCAGAGTGGAGGGACAAACATTATTTCTTTCTTCTCCCCGATGACCACTGAAACATGTCAAAAACCAGCTTTTTCAAAGCCTCTCTGAAAACTGGAGTGAAAACCTCTGAATGTTCCATAAGTTATCATGAAGAAAGACAAGCTCCTCCTCTGCCTGGTCATGTATGCCTCGTATCCGGATGGAAATTAAGAAAAGCCTTTTACCAGTATGCAGTCCCCACTTTTCTTTAAAGCCAATCCAAGCATTGGCATTTGGAGTTGTGCCCACTCCAGCAGTCCATGGGATGTGGAAATAATTACAGAGCCATGCATGCCTCAATCACAGTATGAAGGAGGTAATTACACCATGGAGTAAGTGCAGCAGATGGGATGTGCTTGCTCTCGTGTGCTTGGACTCTGGTCTGTCCCTGGCAGGTCTCACATGCTGCCAGTGAGGAAAGCAGGTTTGGAGGCTATTTGAGAATCTATGAATGCTGAGAAGTGTCCAGTGGGATTTTTCAGGTGTATGTCTATGCCAGCCAGACACAGCTCCATGGAGGTTGCACAGAATCATAGAATCCCAGACTGGTTCGGGTTGGAAGAGACCTTGAAGCTCTTCCAGCTCCAACCCCCTGCCATGGGCAGGGACACCTTCCACTAGAGCAGGTTGCTCCAAGCCCCTGTGTCCAACCTGGCCTTGACCACTGCCAGGGATGGTGCAGCCACAGCTTCTCTGGGCACCCTGTGCCAGGGCCTCAGCACCCTCACAGTAAAGAACTTCTTCCCAATGTCTCATCTCAATCTCCCTCTGTCAATATAAAGAAGTTAAAAAAATAAAACTTGGCATTGCAAGATTCGCAGGCAATGCCCCACTTGTGAAAATCAGATATCCAATGGAAAGGAACTAGTTTTGCTTTCATAGAGTGCATTTCTGAATCCACTGCTCCTCCCTGCTGGCTCAGCTGATGCACATCTTTATTTCCACCATGCAGGCAGACCCTGCACAGCTGCATCATAGAATCCTAGAATCAGGTGGGCTGGAAAAGGCCTTATGATCATCAAGTCCAACCGTTCCCCCAGCACTGCCAAGGCCACCACTAAACCATGTCACTAAGGGCCATAAAAGGTTTTGACCTTAATTTTAGTTTCATTTTTCCACTGGAAAATGCCAATTTGTTGGAGCTGGGGTTTTGCGGAAGAGTCAGTTTCAGTGAAGGCTCCTGGTTTCTCAAGGCTGTGATGGACCTGCTGGAGGGGAAGACAGGCAGGGAAGGACAGACTGATGCGCCCATGATGGACTTGAACAAGAAGGGACTTGACCATCTTTCTGCAAAAGATTTGGGAAATGAGTTCTCAGCTAATTCAGCTGTTGTGGACAGAGCTAAGAGGAGAGACAGGAGCAAAGGAAAATGTATTATAGTGGTGTTGTTATCATCACCAGCATTTTTAGTGGGGAGAGATGAAAAGATTTCTCCTTCCAACCTAAAGCAATAATCAGAAGTTACAATTCGTCAGAAACAGTCCTTCCTCCTGGCTGGATTTAGCCACAGCTTGTCCTGGTGCATCCAAGGGGTCAACTAACAAAGATTAGTTTATTCTCTCTCAATCTAACAAAAGCAAAGCACCTTGCTGACAGCTCCTAATTTTAGGCAGCTACATTCAGCTCTTCTCCATCAGTCCCTTCCAACCCTAATGATTCTGTGATTATGCTAAACTAAACAACACTCAAGTTTCCATTTTCCAGTGCCTAGATCCTTCAGCACAATATCATCATCTTTCCCTGCCTACACATGGCCTTTTTCACTTTCCCTATGCTTCTGTCTTATGGACTCATGCTGGCCCCTGGAATCAGTTCACAGTTAATGGGGATGCCCTGTTCTTCTACACCACCTCTCAGCTTCTCATCCATACTGCTTTGAAGTACTTAATTACATTGTTCATTTTGCATTTATTGGACTATGCTGTGTTTCCACTGCATTTCATAAAGCAACCCCCAGGCCTCCTGAAGGAATGCTACCACAAAACACGAATGAGCACACTGTTCTCCCCAGCACAGAGCAAATGCACTGCTAATGGTGTTTTCTGGTGGTGACAAACTCTCAACCCTTCCTTGGTTGCAGCACTGGTGAAAAATCCTGCCTAGTACACGTGTGTGAGAAGACATGACCATGATGCTTTACTTTCCACTTTCATGGCCATCAGGCAACCCAAACTTGAGAAATCAATAGCACTCAAACAAGGAAACTTGTAATTTTCCACTGGACAAACTTTAGTTTTCTCAGAGGCTTCCATGTTCAATGACAGACACCATTTAAAGCAAGAAATAGTGGTGCTGTGTCTCTTTCTTTGGTATTGGAGACTAGTATTCTTCATATCTGAAGTGTCTGCTCTTGCCTGACAAACAGCCAGTGCTATTAAATGTTTAGAGCAGACAGGTTAGAAAGACAGACAAGAGGGTGAATGATTTTGGTGCTGTGGAGTACAGACTGTAGTTGGCAACAGGCATTTCTATCACCGGTAGATAGAAATATAAGTGAATGTTCCCTTGCAGTCACTGATGGGACTTCCAGTGTGACTCCTTTTCTGTCACATTACATTATCTGCCATGCTGGGAAACTCAGTAATTACTCTGCAGGCACTTCTGAAGACATACTTTTCAGAACAAATGATGGGGCAGGAGGTGATTGCTAGTTAGGCACAGGCTGGAAACCTGCAAGCCCATCTCACGAAGGAAACAAACCAAACCACTGTCACTTCTCTGGTAAAAGATATTTCCATATTAACTTGGACTAGGAGAAGAGGCTGAGCAATTTTACAGGGGGAAAGGAAATGGTTCCTGGAAAGTAAATTCGCGTCTGCAGAACAGAAATTACTTTTCTGCTCCTGGAAGGATATTACCTGGTTTGCTTTTCCAGATGAGCAGTTCAGGAACCAATAGATCAGTTTCCCCAATAGGAAGTCCAAGTGTTTGAGATAGTGAAGGTGTTTTCCACTTAAAAGTCATGTCCACAGAAAATCCACAGCTAGAGATCATACAACCTGATCATCATCAACTAAAACCTAAAATATTTTGTAGATTCCTCCCTCAGCAAAGTATCTCACAAGACAACCACCACTATCACAGAGACATACCAAGGTGAGGAAAACACTACCCTCCTAACTACCCCCCACTGCCCTGGAGAGTGAATGTCTTGCCCCACATTTGGGATTTGGTGAAGTTCCCTTGCTGGTGTGGGGTGATGGATGTAAAACTCTGAGTTACCAGGAAACGTTTTAACTTTACCTCATGAGACAGGTAAAAGGCAGCAATCCCCAATGGCCAGAAGCAGCAGAGCATGGAGAACACAGTGAGGCCGAGGTGATCTCTTGGTGGCATCATCAGGAAATTGTCTTCACTTTCGGTGTCACTTGAGTAATCGCTCTGGAATAGCAAGGGAGAGAGAAATACAGAGGTGCTGGTTAATGGTATCACTATCACTCCTCTGCCATGGGCCAAGGCTGTGATCATCTCCCCGGTCATGCTAGGGCAATTTCTCAACATCAAGAGAGGCCTCATTCGACTGTGTCACAGCCTCCATCACTATTGCATGAACTTGACATGTTCTCTCTCTTACAACATGATGCCAAATCCTGAGCTTACTGGGACATCTTCCCTATCCAGAAACCTTTCTGACATTGGGAAGCTTTTGACAATTTGGCTACATCATTGGCTGTCTTCCCTTTGTTCCTGCTTATGGAAGAGCTGCACTTTAACGCAAGGAAGCTGTGGCTGCCCCATCCCTGGCAGTGTTCAAGGCCAGGTTGGACACGGCTTGGAGCAACCTGCTTTAGTGGAAGGTGTCCCTGCCTGTGGCAGGGGATTGGAACTGGATGAGCTTTAAGGTCCCTTCCAAACCAAACCAGTCTGGGATTCTATGACACCAGAGGAGCTGGACATTAGAGGGTCCTCTGAGAAATCAGACTTACTTTCACCAGTTACAGTCAGTTTGGGTTAGATGACTAATCCTGCATAATCACCAATATGTTCCTTTCATGTTTAACAGTCTCTTTATAAATTTACATGGAACTTTTCACAATTACATCATGATATCACTAACCTGTCTGAAAGCTTTTAACTAGCAGAAATTAGGGAATAGCATAGCTAATGAACTTGTAAGGTTTGGGTGGTGAGCAAGACCGAACAGACAAAGTTTTTCTTTATTTAATAGGAAGCTGGATGAGTTTAAGCAATCTGAAATATCAGACCATTAGGTGTTACTTTTTAGTGGTGTACATCCAGTGCATCACCCAACCAAACAACACGCAATCAAAAGAGAACTTGTGTAACCATTCAAAAAAATACATGGCAAAAAGCATCCCTTTCCTGGCTGAGATACTCTGGTCATTGCTAGAGCAAAGATCCCTCAGAATTACTCTCCTAATGAATTCCAGTTACTCCAGGCTTTTTACTGAGCTGGTAAAAACACAGTCTAGCTCTCCTCTTTGAACAGAACTCCTCTAACCTGTCAGTCAGACAATATCACTATCTTCTTGATGCTAGAAAATGCTTAAGATGAAACAAGGCAAAATACATCCTGATGCAGCTGCAGTCATGTAAGTGACAATAGACAGGAGCAGTGTCACAGGGTGGCAAGAAACAGCAGCAGCAGCAGCTGAGGGTCTCTTCAGGATGTGGAGGGATTCACCCCTTTTCAGACACAGTAACTGGCTCCAGCAGATTCCACTGGAATTGCACGACACACAGAGAGTATCTACAGAACGCAGCTCCTTTCTGCTGCAAATCAGGTTCTGACTTTGAGACACATCTTTGTGCTGTAACGGGAAGGATGCAACCTTGAGTAGATGCACAGTCCTCTCCCTGGCCAGGTGAGCTGTGGTCTCTGCAGCTCGTGTGAGATGCTGCTGTGAGAACACCTTTCTGTGCCCATGGCCCTGCAGCACACATGACATATCTCTAAATTACTGAGAACACAGCAGGGATTTCCTGCTTCCAATGGATCCTTTCTAGCAAAAGCTGTTATCACAACCACAACCCTCCTCATCCTTCCTGACTGCTGCTTCACATCCCTCACCAACACAACTGGAGTTCAGCTGAGAAGACAGCACAAGATAAAACAATCTCTGCCTCAGTTTAACCACAAGCCTTTTCATGTCTGTTACAATGAAGAGGTGACCTCAGGACCTCAGGCACGACTGGAATTATCAGGAGATGAGGGTCCAGAGGACCTCTCCCCAGAGCATAAATTCCTGCAGAAAGCACACAGCACCCTGCCCAGATTAATGTTGATTACAGTGAATGACAAAGAAAACAAGCAGCCCTTTCCTTTCTCTCCCTCTTTCTTTTTTCCCTTTCCCTTTCCCATCAGGTCCCATCCCTCCTATTCTCCCCAGGTAAAGTGGAAGAAGGACCTGAAGACAATGGCCTTTTTCACCAGAGGACTAGGTGACACCATCGAAGGTTTCAGGCTTTCATTGCATGACCCAGCTGGAATAGCCCCGCACAAGCCCTTTGACTGTCTTATTTACACAGATTTCTCCATGGTGCACAGCTCTGCAGACCTAAAATGCACTAGGCACAGGCGGGGTGGGCAGGACATAAAGTGCATTTCTGCAGGAACTGTAGATGTGACAAAGGATGAAGAGGAGAAATGAGCTTTGTTGGGAGAAGGAAGGTGTCTATTCCCAGAGCGCATGGGATTTTGCAGCAGCTGGAATTTGGGTGCTAGACAACTCAACAGGAAATCTTGACCTCTGTATTCAAGCGGGCTGCTTCCGATGCGTCCCAAATGACCTGAGCAAGAAGTCAGCCTTGAACATAACCAGAAATGTGGTCACACTGAAGACTGGTAGAATGAAGCTCAAACATTGATGGATTTTAGTCCATGAATTTCACTGGCTCCTCCAGTTGATAGCAATGCTTCCTCTGCAAATTGCAGAATAGAGGAGAGAGAGAAGAGGACATTTAATATGGGATACTGAATCATGTAGACACCCCATTCCTGAAAGAACCATGGCTTGGGAGCAGAAGACCTGGCACAGAGGCAAGGCTCTGTGTACACAGTACTGAATGTGGGGTGTGCACTTTGGGCTGTATTGCATGAGAAGGACCACTAGAGCAGAGTGTTCAGTGAAAAGCAAGTTGAAAATAAACCCCCTCTGTGATGCACCACAGGAGAAACAAATGTGATCCGCGGAGAGGGAAGGAAAGGTACAGTACTACAGACATGCACATCATGGGTCCAGGTCTGGTACCGCCATTTCCCATGTTGAAAAATCAGGAATCAGAAGGCAGGTACATGCATCACACCACAGAAGAAATCTATACAAGAAGAAAGAAGAGAAGCCAACCTCACTTGTAAGATAAATTTAAGACGCAATTTCACCACAGTCTGTAAGTGCCTGCACGAGTAGATAATTTCTGATCAGAGACAGCTGTTTCATTTGGCAGAAAAGCAGCAGAAACCCCAGCAGCTGAAAGCAGAAGAGATGAAGAGCAGACACAAGGTGCAGATTTTTAACAGAGATGGTGATGAACACTTTTCTGCAGTTGTAATGGATTTTCTATTACATGAAGCCCTTTCTTAAATCGAGGCTAGCAATCCCTAAAACCTACACGCTTTACCTCAATCCAGACATGATGAGTGCACAGAGGCTCTGCAGACAGCCTCCCGTGGGCTGCCTGTGACATACCAGAGGCTGGACTTGATGGCCACATTGTCCCTTACAGTATTAAAACGCCAGGCACGCTGGAGAAGTCAGACAACAAGGTCTGCTATGAACCACTGCTGCCAGTAACCTTTGATAGATATTCAGGAAACAGCCCATTTGGTATTACTCCTTTTTTCCTTCAAAGCAACCAATTCAGCAACACGCACACACTGCATACAAAACTAATTTCTGGTCTGGCCCTGTGGGATCTGCTTCAAATCCAGATGGTCCAGTGGTCTGATTTGGACAGAGACCAGCGCATGATGTGACTGTAAGATAATATGTGCTCTGTTTCCCCCCACAAAATGCCTGTTTCAGTAATGCAGTTAAACATGATAACCCTGTTCTGACCAGCACTGTGCATCCTTTTGCTCTTACTGCAAGCAGTGTGAGTTCACTGAAATGCAGCAGAAGTTGAAGGCAGCGAGCTGGGTGGTGGTAGCTCTCCCACCAACGGCTGCTGTTTATCACTGCTCTGCCTCAACACACTTACTGCGTAGGTGTGCAGCATCTGGCTGATACTTACTGAAGTGGTGATGTCTCTAAAACCCGCCAGAATCACAGGCTGGTTTGGGTTGAAGGCACCTTAAAGCTCATCCAGTCCCAACCCCCTGCCATGGGCAGGGACCGGGTTGCGCAAAGCCCCTGGGTCCAACGTGGCCTTGACCACTGCCAGGGATGGGGCAGCCACAGCTTCTCTGGGCACCCTGTGCCAGGGCCTCAGCACCCTCACAGGGAAGAACTTCTTCCTAATGTCTCATCTCAATCTCCCCTCTGTCAGGTTAAAGCCATTCCCCCTTGTCCTGTCCCTAAATGCCCTTGTAAAAAGTCCCTCTCCATTCTTTGTCTTGGTGATGTATTATTTATTTATTCTATTTTCCCTATTTGTTTATTTCTTTTTACTATTTTGAGTTTTGCAGTTGCTCCCTTTCAGTTTTAAAGGTCTTTAAATGATGCATTATCCACTAACCCTGACCTGGTCAAGCTCCTCTTGTTTTCCCAACTCCCAGCCTAAATTGCCCTGTCAGTTGGGCAGCCAGCCTTGCAGAATGGGCTCACAGAGGTCTCTACTTGCTTGGAAATCTTTTCATATATAACTTTGCAAAACCAAAATGTACCAGGGGCAAAAAACCCCTGGATACAACTATCCAAGACCATTCTTCCTCCTGTCCCCTGGATTTTGAATATCTGCCTTGGGATGTTTTCTTGACACCCACAGCCAGTCTGCCTATAGCTCAGGGACGTCACTGCCTGGCATCAGTTTGAAAGCTCAGGGAAGTGCTGATAGGAAAGGGAATCACTCTGGGTCCTGGCTGCTATAACAGGATTCATAGGAGGGCACTTGGAGACTGCTGAATGTGACTTCTCAGCCATTGCTCCCTTCACCTAGGGCTGGCTAATAAAGGTTAATATCCCTTGGCAGGGCTCAGTATCTCCAGACTCCACTGGCTTCTCCTTCAAGGGAGAAAAATAAATCAAGCACAAATGAAGTGTAATCACTCTCATAACTGGTTAATAATGTATCTGTGAAGGAATCCAGGGACATAAAGAGTGTCTCTGGGGTCAGACCAGTGGCCCATTGAGCCTCATGCTCTGCCTCTGACAGCAGCAACAGGACATGACATAAACTTGGACATTTTGCAGTTCATCCGTTGCACTCCCTCAGCACCCACAACTGTTGTGTAAGAGGTATTCTGTGTTCTTCTGAGCATGTCCCACAGGAGGAAAGAAAGCAGAATTATGTTCACAGATCCACAACACTTCCCTAGATGTGGCCTGGCACAGGGTGCCCAGAGAAGCTGTAGCTGTGTTCAATGCCAGGTTGGACACAGGGGCTTGGAGCAACCTGCTCTAGTGGAAGGTGTCTCTGCCCATGGCAGGGGGTTAGAACTAGATGAGCTTTAAGGTCCCTTCCAACCCAAACCATCCTATGATGATTCCATGATTTATTGCACCATTTTCTTCGGTTCCCAAGGCACAGAATGGAGAAAATATTGTTTTCCCACCTGCAGTAACAAGTGAATTCATTCATGTAAGGTGTAAGACCCTGAAGGGAAATGGCCATACAGGCAAGTACCTGAAGCATGCAAGACCTGCACTAGCCTGCCTCTTCACCCATGCTGCAGAGCTCTCTGGAAGGGGAACCCCACCATGCTCGGGTCCCCAGGGGAATGTCCAAACATGTTTTCTGGATACCTGCTCCCAGGGGTTGCTGAAGCTACAGAAGCTCAGGTCTTATCAGCACAATACAGGATCATCCAAGCCTGTGCAAGCTGGAAGCACTGAGAAAAATCAGGTATGTTGTGGGGCTTGACACGCATGAACAACTCCAGGGCTGCCTCTTCATCTTGCAGAAGAGACATGACCAGTAGGTGCTCTGGAATGTTGAGAAGAGGGGTTAGATGGAAGAGAACATGGCTTAGGAGCCACCTTCTCTCTTCGCACTTTCATGCTCATGTCCCAGGGATGAGTTTCACAGCAGCATCCAGCAATTTGTATGGGGAAAAAAAGAAGGCAGGTTTAACTTAAAAGCACTATGTTTCCTTTCTTCTTTCACCCCCCAGAACATTCTATTTATTTCATTTTCAGAAACTGTTTCAGACGTACATCACTGGGAAAAAAGAAAAAAGGTTTTAAGAGAGTGCTCAGATGTATTCTTTTATGCTCACATATGAATAATTCAATTTGCTGCCATCAATAGCTTGGGTTTCTCTAAATAAGCCATCTATCTAGGGGTTAGGAGGAAAACTAGCAGGAACGTAATATGACAAATGATGTTTCTGGATGAAAGATGGCACTGCATTTACTCATGAACTCTAACAGGAGGGTACTGCAGCTGGTAACTCATGTAATATTTCATTGCCACCATATTTGACAAGTTGTCTGCCCATTAGTTTTGGTGTAAAGAACTTATAAGATATTTATAAGCATTCCAGAGGCACCTAAATAGGAAATCATTTGATTTCAGGGCTGGGCACCGAAGAGAGAAGTTTAAAGCTTTGACAGAAAGCTCAGCCTTCTGTGCCCAGGCCTGGTAATTGCTGGAGCAAAGTGGGGCTGTGTATGCTAATGAGAGATGTTTCAGAAGCCTTTTTCCCTCCAGACAATTAGGATTTTCGCAGGCATTCTGAGTAACATTGCACCAGGTCCTGAGAAGCACTGCTGTTAAAAACCAAATAAAACATGAACATGTTGCGGCAATGTGCAGGACCCCTGCTTAGGATTATGCAGTCCCAGGCTGATTCTGGTTAGAAGGGACCTTAAAGCTCATCCAGTTCTAACCCACTGCCACGGGCAGGGACACCTTCCACTAGAGCAGGTTGCTCCAAGCCCCTGTGTCCAACGTGGCCTTGAACACTGCCAGGGATGGGGCAGCCACAGCTTCTCTGGGCACCCTGTGCCAGCACCTCAGCACCCTCACTTCTTCATAATGTCTCATCTCAATCTCCCCCGTGGCACGTTAAAGCCATTCCCCCTTGTCCTGTCACTACAGGCCCTTGTCAAAAGCCCCTCTCCAGATTTCTTGCAGACCCCTACAGCACCATTTTGAATAGACACCCAGATCAAATGCCCTACATTGCAAAGGCACCTAAAAATCCCATCAAGAAAAGGAAAAGGTTTTTTGATGTAAAACATTATTTTATTTGACCTGCTTACTTTTCCAGCCCCTTTCAGCCTATTCTGCAGCTTCTGGCTAAAGAAAGTCTTGCTGGATTTGGATTGGCAAAAGGGAGACACATATTTTTGCTGCCTAAATGTGAGGCTGGATGTGTCAATAACACCATTAGGC